GTCGCGATTGAGACCCTTTCTACGCAACAACTACTCGACAGTTGCACAGCGTTTGTGCGGGAAATGAGAGAGGCTAGCGCGCCTTGGCTTCGTGAGCGCATCATCCAAGTCTACGGTGAACCACCTGAGGACCCCGCGATATTTCCATACTGGTTTGCCTCTGTCGTCCCAATCGTGGAAGAAGAGAAATATGTTTTATTACAAACAGAAAGGGTTCGCGAGCGTCTGAAGATTGTTTACTCGTGGATTGGCAGGATCCGCGGGCAAAGATGGTAAGCATCTACCTTTTCCTATCTAATCATCTCCCCAATCCCTCGGCTCTCGGCACCAGGAACCCGGCACATGCACTAAGTCTTGGGTGACACAATCACAAACGGTGATCGTCCCGCCGTCGTGCAGCATGGCTTCCGCGGAGAGACGTGGATCATTGCTTGTGCGCTGATCACTATGACGATAGAGATACCGTACGAGTGTCCAGTGACACATTCCCGTCCATGCCATTGGCTTTGGATACTTTCGACGCAAAGATATATCCGGTGCAGTAGCTGACAACGTATCGATAGGTCTTCGGGCAGCGCATGCAGTATCCTATGACTCTTGATTGCTATAATTACCATGGGCATCTCGATCCTGTCTACGCCTCCACCTCAGCCTGCCACCAACTCCCACTAGGAGGACGAGACGCTTACATCACATTAAGCTCACGACTTTCCAATACCACCAGATACCCTTCGCTCATGGCCAGAATTTGATACCAGTCCTCACGTCTACATGCCCTTCGGCATCACGAGGCACTATTTCCTTTACGTGTATTGCACTATTTTACGTCACGAAGATCTCGTTTGCTATGATATGTTCTTTCGCTTCTTCAACGATTACCCCCTTTCAGGAAGGACCCGGAGCTTGCCGCGGTCCATGTTCAAATGGCTTTTTTAGACCCAGGTGCCAGCCTGGCCTTCGTGGGGAAACTTCTTTTCAGGACAGTTTTCGAAAAAACGGCATGCTGTAACGAAGGGTGAGGAGTAAACTTTGCATTTGGCAGGCGTTGTTTCTATCGTGTCGATTTTAGCGGGGCTGCTTTTGCTAGAGATGAGGGGAAGATGGCTTTGTAGATACTAGAGTATTTGCGAATGAGATATGTCCATCTCTGATCTATGTTCTGTGCATTACCGTACTCTATAACACGGTCGCTGATGATGACTTCACATTTACTCGTAGTTAAAATGTCTGATCGCAGAAGTGCAGATCCAAGGATGATATGCCCCATTCAAGTAGGCACGTGCCAATCCGCATAAAAAGCATTGAGTTTCGAGAAGGCGATAGTATGCTTCTACTTGGATCTTCTGTATCCGGTTTCGGCCGCTGGGTCGGGGTTTGGCACATCGGCGTTCTGACAATGCTGCAACATCTTGCTGTCGCTAGGGTAGACCCGTTCACAGATTAGGCAGTTGACTGTGAGTGTTGTTTTCATGCTCTTATGTGTACCTTGATGGCCTTCAAGAGACCACTCTGGAGCCTACAATGACGATAGATCTTCCGATTTGCTTGTTTTGTCATAGCGTAGTCTGCAGAACTGTTCAGTTTCTTTCCTTTTCCGAGGTGATGGAGTCTAAGGCTTGTTGTGCGGAGAGACACGTGGCACGAATTCCCATCGTCATCCTGCTGCTGCCATCCCGACAGCCGCTGGTACAGCATCGTCAACATGTTCTGGTGGACGGGCTTGTCAATACGATCGATGGTTGGCATAGCTTCTTCAATCTGTTCAATCTCTCGGAGTATCTTAGTGTTACCGTTGCGCGCAGGGTAGGGTTCACGTTCTCTTGCAGGGCATCTGAAGTCGATATGAGTACTCATCTTCTTCTGGGGCCGAAACTTCCTGCCGCAGTAAATGCATTCGAAGCCGAGAGTAGACCCAAGACTCTCATCTACCGTGGTCTATCGGGCGGTGTCCATTGCGTGTACGGTTCGGTGGTGTTCCTCCAGAGTCACTTTGTTGTTGAAGGTCTCCGGGCAGACAGAGCGGTCGAATGAAGAGTTGGATAGTTCTCGGTGGTGTGTGCGCAGATGTTGATCCAGGTTGTTCTTAGTGGTATATATTTTGCTGCATTTTGCGCACTTCCATGTCTCTGCCAATATCGCTGCCTCACGGCATCGCTTCTTTGATGCAAAGTTTGCTTTCTTCGCTTCATCGTTGTGTAGAAACATGTGCGTCCTCAAGCTTGCTTCATTCTTGTAGTCCTTAGACTTATAGGACATTGTACTCTCTGTGCTGTCATGGTAGCGGAAGGAACGAAGGACGATTCTAAATTCCTAGCGCAGGTCTGCTCCGACGATGTTGGTAAAGACCCTTGGCGTGAGGCGGTGTCGATGCACGATGAACGCAGGCAGGCGCGGCGTAGCTGTGAGTGCAGGTACGCTCAGGCGAGGTTGGACATAAGAAGATGCCCAGATCACTCATCCTGGCTTCTACGAGGGCGTGGCAGTCGTTTGTTCCTTCCAACTATTCATGGGGTTGTTGCCGCGGGTCCACTCTTCGCGCGCGTAGACGGTCTAACCTCTTTGGGCGAAAGACCGCATTCGCCCAATACATCGTGTTGCGAATACTTACGCCCTGCGAAATTTCGCGTTCTGCCGTGGTTGCCTAATTCCCCTAAGTTGCCCGCTTGCGACGCGGACCCCGTGGCTGCTGACAGGTTATTCGATCTCGTGCCATTTGTCTCATCAAATCATACCGTCTCGGGCGTATTCAAGGCGCGACAGGCACGTAGAGCTAGCTTTCCACGTATGCAGGAACCAGTTGTACAGTCACAGACGTAACCAACGGGAGACAACATCAACATCGAGCAAAGCAGCACCACCACGCGCCGCTACAACCGCCGGCACTCGGAGCCTCCTGTTGCCGCGCCGTGAATATTTGAACCTTACGAGACGCCAAGGCCATCAGCAATAGGTACAACCCTGGGGTAATACGGCGGATACGGCTGATACGGCTGAAACGTTTTCCGAGGCCGGTTTATCAAGCCTGCACACCCGGCCCCCAAATCTAGTCACAGCTTCTCCTTCAGTACCATACGATCGTAACACCAGGCCACGCACATCCAACGCTATAAAGGCGACCATATAGGAAACGCTCGTCAGTCGTGCGGCTATGGGAAACACAATGCACTCATCGCATGCCGATGCCTCCCAGCTAGCGAGCTGGAAAGCGGCAGCGAACACTGGTGTCATTGCTGTGGCCATCATCGTCCTCCTCGTCATCTTTATCGTTCGAGTGGCGTCGAAACCGAAACCGTACCAGCTGTTTCCCGTCTGGGCAACACTTGAGATTGGGTTAACTTCGCATCTTCTCTCCGAGAATGGACTGGGTCGCCGTATTCTGTGAGTACCATGAAGCTTTAACCATATAGAAATAATACTCATGTCCGCTTTTGTAGGATGTTGCTGCGGCGAAACAGTGGATCTCTTGTTGGGCTCTCATCAAAACACCAAATACTCATCGATTCGCCGCACATCACACGGTTGATGGCAAAATCCATCTTAGATCCTTTGCCGTCTCAGTACACCCTTCTCGTCCGTGTATTCGGCGGCGTAGACTCACTGCAATTCAAAGAAAAGATGGACGCTTCAAACAGGGATCTACGAGCACCTGTCGAGAAAGTCTTCATGAACGAGAACGCTGCCACTGCTGCTTTGGAGAGAGCCTGCATACCCGAAAAAGTGAAGTCCTTCGTGACCTTCCAGTCTAATCCTCGCGACATGGAGTTGTGGGAGCATTCGGCACAAATTCGGGTGATCAACCCTGAATCCGGTGGTGTTGAGAAAGTGGAGGCAAACTTCCAAAGCTTGATTCGAGACTTTGGCGCCTGCATCGCTATCCCACAGCTATACGGTCGCGATTTCCTCGATCGATATCCACAGGCACTAGAGGATCTGTGGAAGTTTGATAACGATCTCTTCCCCCTTTTAATGATTGGCCTGCCTCTGTGGGCTCCTTTGAAAGTGATGAAAGAGGGTCTCGCTGCGCGGACCCGTCTCATCACTGAACTCGAGGCTTTGTATCGCCGAATCGACCAGTACCAGCAGGGAGATCCTGTCGATTTTGACGCTGATATGCGCGACGTTGGTGAAACAGCATTGGGAAGGAACAACGTCTACAGGAGGGAAGGTTGGTCCTTCCCTGAGCGTGGTGCTGGAGACCTTGGACTCCTTTGGGGCCAGAATGCGAACACGCAACCACTCCTCTTCTGGCTGTTAACCTACTTATATTCCACACCCGATATCTTGGAGCAACTCCGCGAGGAACTGACCCAATATATTACGATGTCTACGTCCATCCCCAGAGAATTGACATCGATGGATATGCAAGGCTTGTCAAGGAATTGTCCGTTGCTGAAGGCGTGTATTTACGAGACCTACCGTCTTGTAAACGAACCAACGTTTGTATCCCCGTTCGAACTTTATGTAGGACATTTACTGACCTCGTGCACCCACATCTTAGGTCCATTAGATCTGTTGGTTCAAACACAGTTCACGTTACGGACGGGGATTTGAGACATGAACTCAAGCCGGGTACATTCGTGTCGGTACCTTATTCTTTGGTAAACCGCGATGCTTCGATCTACAGCGATCCCGATAAGTTTGACCCTGGACGATTTCTGGAGCTGGACCCGTCATCTGGGAAGCTTACTGCTCGATATGGACGACTGAAGCCATGGGGATCTGGCTCTGCAATGTGTAAAGGCAGGATATTTGCTGAGAAGGAAATTGTGACATTAGCTGTTGCTATCATTACAATGTGGGACGTTGGCCCAGCGGACGGGGCATGGAAGCTTCCGGGCAAGGTTCCGGGAACCGGAGTGAGAAAGCCGACCAACGATATACGTGTGGTGATTACAAGACGGATTTAGTATACGACATAGTTAGCGTAGTATGCATGTAGCATACAGCTCTCACCAAGTATCGCAATCGTTGCAAACATTCGAATTTTATTTCCGATTACATTAACGCCTCAGTCCCTCGTCCCAAGCAACAAACGTTTGGTGTCGATAGTCTGGCATACACTTCACTTTCTCCGGCGGAGAAACCTCCCACTCGATTTTGATATCATCTCCTTCGTCCGCAACATGCTGCAGACAAGTCAGTATGTGTATCACATGCACTTCGCACAGTCAGAACTTACCTTGGATGTGGATCCTTTCAAAGCCCTGAGCTTCTTTGTTCCTTCGTCCGAGTATTCCACGTTAACGCTCGGTACCACAGCAATCTTGCCATAACCGTTAAACCACATGTCCTTGGCGAACAGCTTCGGCTCGCCTTGAAAACACTCGCCTTCCTTATGCGTTCGAAACTTGATCTTTTTCTCCATGAGCGGTTTCGCGGTGAAGGCCGTTATGCCGTTCCAGCATGAAAACACCTGGAATGGTTTTGAGGTCGACCAGCGCGCTTGTGATTTAGGGTCATTATAGAAGAGATTCCAAGCGTTATCCCATGATCCGTCTTCCGGGATATTGAAGAATAGGTCCCCAGTCATTCCTAAGAAATAGGTATACTCAGTCAGTATATGTCTCACATGCGCTTCGCACAGTCAAAACTCACCGCGACCGATCCAAACATCATAGTAAGTCGGGTTGTCGCCAACGTATGTCCAATCCATGGCACACGTTTGATCTGCTCCCTGGAACTTCCGCTGATGGATTATTTCTAGAATATCTTCCATACACAAAGCCACGTCGTTGGAGAAGATGACCGTAGTATCCTCGTCGTAATGCTCCGGATGTGCGATAAGGTCTCTCAGAGCTAGATTGCGGAGCTTTGCAAGGTTCTCGATGCGATTTTCTCCTTTGGCTAGAGGGTTGATATCGCTCGATTTGAAGTAGTATCGAATACCTAGGAGTGCTTAGCTTTTTTATCTCTGAATGTAAGCTGCCTTGGGTACCTAAAAGTTGCATGCTAGAGTGAAGTTGATTGAGTATATCAAAGGTGCCATCGTCGGATCTTCCTTCGACTATAGATAGCACGCAGTTTTGTGGCCCAAGGAAGTACATAGTTTCTACTATGGAGCCAATCAATCGCGGAAGAAGGTCAACACATTGATGTAGATCGAGGGCAAAGAAGTATCGAGGAAGTTGCCCATGTTGGAGTGATCCAGATGATCCACCGAGATACGCATACCTTTCAAGGTTTGGCTGCGGGCACTCAAGTCGTGGGAAAGTCGTAGACGCAGGATTCATGATGGCGTGCAGATATGCTGGTATATCAATGACGGTGGCATTGTTACTTTCCGAAAGTTCAGAACCGCCGCTGGCATTGGGAGGCTCGGGGGTTTGTGATGTTGTTGGCGAGTCATCTAGGTTGCTTGGCTTCGTTTCTAGTCCCAAATGTTAGATCCGACTCACATTATCGGGAAGCAGAGGCTACACACCTGCCGGGGTTGGTTTGACAATACCAGTGACGATAGGTTTTATTCGCGAAAGGGAATCGCCATAGTCGAAAAACCCAAAGCCGGCTATCAGGAGGAAGACAACAGCAAGCAACGCGGTCGCCTTGAAGACCGATCGCAAGCCCCTCGTTGTCATTAGAAAGGAGCGACGAAGAAGAAAGAACAGGGTGCAACTGAGAAGCAATAAAGCCGATGAAGTCTCTTTCAAAGAATGTAGCTGCGTGACTGAGAGTGGCAAGTCGGATTCGCGCCGTTTCGCGTGGAGGAAGCGCTCAGAATAGGCCCACGGGTTGCGGCACGGCGGCAAATGACGCAGACAGTTATCCCACTAGCAACACTGTTTGGGTGAACAAGTGGCCCGTGCGTGCCTCCGGAGCGTCTGTTACCAGTGAAACCAGTCAACATATCCCTTCTGCCTTTCTCCCACAACAAGAAAAAGTTCAACAGCGTCACGCAGCGTCTACCAGTACCGAGAGAACCGCTCACGTATGCGCGCTTTCGCTAACTTAGTGAGCTCCGGGATATGGATTCTAGCAGCGAAAGTTGGGTGTTGGTGGCGCGCGCGGTTGTTGCTATCTCTGCCCAGGCGTTGCCAGGACCTCGGGATTCCAGGACAGATCCACGCGCGAAGGGAAAAATGCATATTCCAGTGCATCTAAATGCTTGTTGTGCTCGGGATGCGTCGCTCGTTGCCATCCTTGCCGGTTTTGCCCTGGTCGCCGAGAGCATGTCGTTGGTGTCAAACGATGAGGTCTATGGCGATACTGAATCCGCGACGATACCAGAGGTGCGAGTGTATCGACCTAGGAGATCAAAGGCGAATGGGCATTGTGGTTCGATGGCGATAATCAGGCTTAAGACAACTCAACATGGACGCTACGTGCTGACATTGTGGCAGATGGGGGCCGTTTCCCTCAAGGCTAACACGACATCTTCGCCCCATTGACTGCATAAGCGCAATCTAAGAAATGGCTGTATTATCGCCCCTGCTGACCGCAGACCTGCGGTAGGGTCAGCAGTAGCCTTTAAGTCGCATCTATGCCCCCTACGTGTCGCACCCATCGTCGCATCTGTTCTTTCGCTTCTAGTACTGTACCAATCAACGCGCCGTCGTCACCATCAACATTGCCTTTGGGAGATGTTGAGGTTCCTCGTGTATCTTGTCGCCTTGAGCTCCGTGGAACCTGTTCGTGGCCGTTTTGCACCCCTAGGACCACGTGCAACACAGCAAGCATCTCACGCCCAGGAACAGATTTTCAGACGACAAGACGATGCATCTGCTTCTATCTGTGGATACACCGATGGCAATCCCAGTAAACCTCGAGGGGCTGGCCCTGGTTTCGTCTGCCTGGCGGATTCCGCCAACGGCTTATGGGGCTTTTGTCACCCTGGCGATTCAGCCGAACTTTGTCTTTTAGTCGGTATATGCGCTGATCAAGGCTCTTGTGCGTCTGGATGCGGCCAACTGTCTGATCAAACGGTTCGCCGTATTTCATGGTCGGTCTCTCTATAGCTTCAGACATACTGAGGGGCTCTTCTAATTAAAGTTTCCAGTGCATCCGACCAGTTCTGTTCCACTGCGCTCTTAATTGAGTCGGATCAGTCATTGTCATACATTGCCTGCGGAAGGGAGCCGAAAACCGAAAGCATCTTCGTGACACCGAACGACGCGGTCGCAACAACGACATCCACTGAACGCAGCGGACCTTTGGACAGTTCGACCCCAGATACACAGACTTCGATACCTCCATCTTCTACTACTACTGCACCTTCAAGCGCCAATGTCCTGTCCGGGGCTTCGTTGCCGCCGTCAACGTCAAATCCGACGCCCGATTCTTCCGAACACAAACCAAATAACATTGGGCCTATCGTGGGAGGAGTTTTAGGAGGGCTTACAGTGATCTGCTTGACCATTCTTGGCGTCTTCTTCATTCGACGAAAGCGTGGCGCTTCAAAAGAGAAAGTACAGCCATCTGGATACAGCTACGGTCCCCGGGATGAATTCGCACAGGAATCTGAATTGAGCATGGGAAACATGCGACACACGCGGAAGGCATATCAATGGGATAGCAGCCGTGGACCGGTTGAGATGTCTGGAGGTCATCATGTAAACATGGAGCCTGCCGAGCTTCCAGGAAGGGTCCACTGATGCCTACGTGCCCGATGGTAGAAGCAGGATGATGCATCGAGTCGCGGTGCGGTGCGATAGTAATGTTGGAGGCTGGTATATATTTTCTTATCGGTAGAGACGTAATGTAAAGAATGTGATGAGACCACGCGCGTGCTTAAAAGATACCACAGATGCATTTAGCTCTCCCGCCAAAAAAGGACCTCAACGTTCCACGACAACACCTGCTTGTTCATGCCCGATGCAATCAGTACCTAGCATACCGAATTTGCACTGACTTGAGGTGATATACGAATGCTGTCGGCGGGTCTGCGGGTGGCGGTGGGTCCTGACGCTAGTTGATTTCCCCGCCACCTCCAGCAGGCAGGCCTCAACAGACCCAGTCATTAGCTCCTGACAATCGCGTTTGCGAGAACATTGCACCTATGAAAGCGCCTACTCTTGTTACTTTCTCTGCAGTTGCGGTTAGTGATGAAAGACTTCGCAATGCGGATGGATTTGTTGTCTCGATCAACTCTTCATCGACGGTTCCGCTCGACTCATCGCTTCGCCTGCAACATATCTGCTAATTCACACACGACGTCTCGCAACCCAGTAAGAGAGTACACATCATCTGGCAGTTATACAAAACCGATGTCAGATTGCAAGCCTGAGAACCCAGAGTCTTCCTTCCCGATGTACAAGCCGATGGAAGATATCGAACCCTTCGAGCGTTACACTGTTGGAGACTACTATCCGGTACGAATCGGCGAGCGCTTCTGCTCGGCTCGCTATCACATTGTACATAAACTGGGTCATGGTTCTTATTCAACTATATGGCTAGCGCGTGACGAGATCCTAGCAAAGTATGTTGCTATCAAATTCTGTGTATCAGGGCTAGACCGTCCGTCCGAAAGTACCATCTTGAAGGCTTTGTGGGACGAGGGAAGACGCGGTGGCGAAGAACATATCGGTACTACGCTGTTTCCTGAACTTTTGGATGAATTCGAAGTGGAAGGTCCAGAGATACGTGGTACGAAGAGAAAGCACCGCTGTCTCGTCACGACACCTGCAATGATGAGCATTGCCGAAGCGCGAGACGCGTCCCCTTACCGTTATTTTCAGCTCCCAGTAGCTCGAGCGATAGCTGCTCAGATTATTCAGGCAGTCGCATTCATGCACTCTCGTGGGATAGTTCATGGAGGTGTGTGATGGAATAGTTAATGTGGGTAGATTATCAATTCGCTGACAGTGAATCTAGATCTACATGAAGCAAATATCCTTCTGCGCCTTCCCAATACCATCGATGATCTTCCCTCAGACCAACTATACGAAAGGTATGGACAACCCACGCTCGAAGAGGTAGAAAGGGTAGATGGACGCCCTCTGGATCATTGGGTGCCCGACAATGGTGTCGTACCAATCTGGCTTGGGGGCCGCGGTGACAAGCTCTCACTCGCCGACTCCCAGATCTTTTTAAACGACTTTGGCGAATCCTTCCAGCCAGGATCTCATGTGCGAAAATCTTCCCACACGCCCTTGATGCTAAGGCCTCCAGAGATACTGTTGGACCCAGTCTCGCAATTCTCGTTCCCTGCGGAATTATGGAGTCTCGGATGCGCAGTGTTCAGTATCATGGGTCAACGTCTCTTGTTTTATGAATGGTTCCCGAGTAACGACCAAGTCTTAGAGTATCAAGTCGCTGCTTTGGGACAGTTACCTCAAGACTTGTGGCTGAGATGGGCGAATCGCAGCCAGTATTTTGACGATCAACTGCGAAGCCTTAGAGGATTGGATTATCAGTCGTTGGAAGATCTTCTGGAGAAGTCAATACAAGAACCAAGAAACAAAAACAAGGTGGACGTGATGGACGAGGAGGAGAAGCAGTCATTTGTCAAGCTCATGAGATTGATGTTGGCATTTCGACCAGACGAACGACCTTCAGCGCAACAGGTTCTTGAGTCTCACTGGGTGCAAAATTGGGCTATACCAGCAATGGGCTTGATGGATGATGGCCTTGTGCACTGACAATCTCCATGGCCCGCCCGCCCTCTTGTTCAAACGATCTTCAGCTAAGAGAACTACTGGAAGCACCTGGTTTATCACCGATTGAAACATCAGGATTGCTATGTTTGTTTGGTATCTTGAACAAACACAGAAGCAGCTCATATATCATTGACACATCGGGCATTCAAGCTGCTGCACTTGCTTCCACTATACAACAGCATCTCAACATGACGAATACTAGTAGACCTAATCTTACAAACCAAGCCCTTCTCGACAAGATAGACAAGCTCCGAGAACTCAATGTCCGAGATCTTGAGTTACCCCAGCTTGTAGTAGTCGGAGACCAATCTTCCGGTAAAAGCTCAGTTCTAGAGAGTCTTACAGGTTTCGCATTCCCGCAAGGTGCCGGACTTTGCACACGATATGCGACGCAGATCTCTTGTCGCCGTCGGCCTGAGCAGAGCGTTTCGGTATCAATCATCCCCCGACCAAACGCAGATCCGGAACTCGTCGAGCGACTACGGAAGTTCCACGTTGAAGGAGATACGGTTACCGCCGATGTACTCGAAGAATGCTTCTCAGAGGCTAACCGACATATGGGGATCAGGATGTCTTCTGATGCCGGCGACTCTCAACTACAAGCGTTCAGCGAAGACATTCTCAAGATCGAGATCAACGGCCCGGACCAAGAGCACTTTACTGTGATTGATGTGCCTGGTATCTTCCGCGTCCCCAATCCTCCACTGACCACCGACAGTGACGTTACCTTGGTCCGCAACATGGTTGAGTCGTATATGCGAAATAGCCGGACTATCATCCTAGCGGTCTTGCCATGCAATGTCGACATCTCAACCCAAGAGATCCTCAAGATGGCCGAAGTTGCAGATCCAGAAGGTGTTCGAACAATGGGTGTGCTCACTAAGCCTGATCTAGTGCTGGAGACCGCAACTCGCGATACCATCAAAGAACTTGTTTTGGGTGGGCGGAACAGGCTGCGTCTGGGCTACTGCATGGTCAAGAATCGCGGCGCCGACGATCGCGCATCTACCCTCACAGATCGACTGGAGCAAGAGAAGCGCTTCTTCTCCAAGCCGGAGTGGAGGTCTTTGTTGACTACAGAAAGGTGTGGCGTGGGCTCGCTCAAGACCCGTCTTAGCAACCTACTAACAAACATCACAAAACGAGAACTACCAAACGTCAGATCTGATGTTCTCGGCCAACTGGCAGCCTTCCGAGAGCAACTGGATGGGTTAGGGCCTGCACGTACTGACGAGACATCTCAGCGTACGTACCTAGGAAATCTCTCGACGAAATTCCAAACCATCACTCAAAATGCCCTGAATGGCTCCTACGACGGCAACCATGTCTTCACAGCACAGCCAAGTCTGAAGCTCATAACTGCCGTGACAAAGATGAATGAGGCCTTCTCCAACGAATTCTGGCATAAGGGTCACAAACGAACGACATCCTCCACATCTGGTGTAAATGAGGAAGAGAAGGCTTACGAGCTTGGAAAGAGAGAGGAAGACGCCGCGCTAGTGCAAGCTACACTTGAAGACTATCCTGAGCTATGCGACATAGTTGAGATGGAGGATTACGAGTGCCCAGAGCCGATCGCTTCTGACGAAGACCCCATTGCCAAGCATATTGAGCGCGTCTATCAAGAGAACCGAGGACCAGAGCTGGGCACGTTCTCAGGTACCATACTGGCTATGATCTTCAAGGAACAGTCGGAGAAGTGGCCGCAACTCGTCCAGGCTCATGTCAGCAAATCCATCATTCTGGTGCACGACTACATAGCCAAGCTCCTTGCCCACGTCTGTCCCGACAAGGAGATCTGTGACCTGCTATGGGATCATCTCATCATGGATGCAGTACGCAAAGCATATGTACGAGCTATGAAGCAGGCTCAATTTCTGCTGCGAATCGAGCGAGAAGGGAAGCCATCAACGTACAACCATTACTTTAGCTCAGAGGTGCAAAAGAAGCGGTTAGCTCGTTTAGACGCTGATATCGAAGAGAAGTTCCCTCACGAGGATGGCGCCGAACCTCAGCTCGTATCGACCACTAACCTGCGAAATCTGGTCATAGACAAAGACAACGTGCAGCAAGTGCGCGAAGACATTCTTGACGTCCTTACTAGCTACTACAAGGTCTCACGAAAGCGCTTTGTTGACGTGATTTGTCGGCAAGCTATCGGTCACTTTCTTCTTGAGGGTGAAGAGAGCCCCCTCAGGGTCTTCTCTCCTGAGATGGTGTTTGGTTTGGGAGTCGAGCAGCTGGAGTTGATAGCTGGGGAAGATGCGGGTACGAGGGAACGGCGATCGATGCTAGAGTCTGAGGTCAGAAGCTTGGAGGCTGCGATGAAATTGCTAAGAATTTGAGGACTCCTCATCTACGGGGAAAGTGGACTGCCACCTCCACGAAATACATGCAAAAAAAGCTGATAAGACTACATTGTCTTTAAACTCTCTCAAACTTGTGTTGTTGTAGTAATGTAGACTTCAGCGTACCTGTTCAACATTTCCATTGTATAAGATGAGTAGGCGAATATGATGGTTGGCTTATAGACGCAGGAGAGGGCAGGCGATCAACCGTAAGTGCCGATTTGCTATCGCCACCAGAGATCGCAGCGCTCACCAGGGCTATCAAGACACATACACGGAATGCGCCACCTCTCTACATCCCTGGGATATTGGAGTCGCCATCAACATGGCCGGCTACGAATGCCATCGTCGACGCCCTGTGGGCAGAGGCGTCACATGATGAATGCAGAATCACCTTACCGTCGACCCCTACAATAGGACTAGATGTGCGCCCGGATTACCTGGTGAAGCCGTTCGGGTCACCGGAAGATCCGCTGATGGTCATGAGCTCTTACCCGACAAGCGACCCGACAAGTTCACTTCACATGTCGTATGGGACACTGAACGACATGTCTAACAAGTCCATCGCTGTGCTATTGATCAAACTCGGATACAACGTCGCCAATGTTCGCACAACCGGCGTGTTCATGGTGGACGTCTTCTCCCGACGCCTCGACAGAAAGCGGATGATTGGTCTCTCTGAAAAGGTCCTAGACAGCGTACCCAGCCAGCTTCGCCTTTATTGGCAGACTTTCGCGTTTATCTGACTCGACAAGTCCACCGCTCCAGTTCTCTTGTTAGCAGGAGGAACAGCGTTCCGGGACTACTGCCAGTATCTAAAAGAGCGAGGCAGGACAGCAAAGGTCCTATATTTGTCCGGCATCCAACGCTACAAAGCAGAAATCCCGGCAGCAATGCTAGAGTACTACGACAACAGCCCAACTACAGTTCGTCGTATCGCCATCATCACGTTCCACCCCGAGCGCTTCGCAAGAGAAAAGAGTAATACAAAGTCAAGCCGAGACGACGACATGGCGATCCGCGAACGCCTAATTGATTATGCCCTAATCATTCTATACGGGCAGCCCAACGTCCAGGGATTCCTCTCCACATGCGCATATCACTTCAACCTCCGTTCAGGAGCGCTCGTACGAAAGGACATCATCGCCAAAGGAGGGAGCGCCCTGTCCTCATATCTCAAGCTACCCCTAGTGCTTTATGATCCGCTGGACACATTCCGTATCTCCATGAAGACGCTTCAGAGGCCATTGTCGAAAGACGCCATTGCGAGGATAAGTGTGCTTATCATGGATGCCGATGAGGCACTCAATTGGCTCGACCGCCCAGAACTCCAAGCCATCTATGGGCCATACGTCGCAACCTACAAGGCGTCTGTCATCCAGACAGAGGATATGAGAGTAAGGCGGGGTCTGAACCAGGTAGAGAGAGTCGAAGGCAGGCACAAGAGTGAAGATCGGCGTAAGAGTCTAAGAAAGGCCTTGGACGACGAATTTGGACCGCCAGCTAAGCGGCACCAGAGCGTTTTCGAGCAAGACCAACGGCGACGACTGTACACTCAGACATTCTGAGATTAGCAACATTTTTGGGGGAAATAGAAAGACCAACACACGGGGATGTACAGGACCGCAAGCACCAATTCGAACGAGAAGGTGTGCTTCGTATTGGGGTATCATAGTAGAATGTGAAATGGCAAGACTGCGGCTCACGCAGCTTCTTTGCCCTCATCTGCGACGGTCGAATTGTCCTCCACTTCAGTCTCTCCGTCCTTGAACAGCTCCTGGCCCAGCTCTTCCAGAAACTTCTCCGCCTGCCCTTTGCTCCTCTTCTCCTGTATGGCCCTCTTCTTTTCTCTGACCATGGCTTTTCTCTTCTCCACGGCCTCTTTGCGCTCCTGCCTTACGCGCTCAGTATCTTCCCTGTCCTTCTCAATCCGTCTCATCTGTTCTTGCCGTTCCTCCTCGTCCTTGGAAAAGTTGAAGAAGCCCATGCCGCGCTGCCTGACCTCGGCTCTGCCGTCAAAGTGTACCTCGGGTGGCGGCGTAAGTTCTTTGTCGCGCTTGGCGGCTAGGTCAGCCATTTGCTGGGCGATGGTCTCGTCGGGGTTGAAGGCGTGTGTTTGTACGGTGTCGCCGAAGATGATGTTGGTGGGCATGCTGGGCCGCGCGGTGAAGCGGTCGGGTTCGTCGGCGGCGAGGGTGCGCTTTCGACGCTCTTCGCGGGCAGCTTCTGCACGTGTGCCCTTTCGCGTTCGCCCAAACTCGTCCGTATATTCTACAAGTTCCTCCTCTTCGTCCTCTTCCGACTCGGATGAGCTGGCGTGTTCCGCCTCGCCCTTTTCCTGTTGCTCAGCCCATTTGCGGTCAAAGTCGACGCCGTATTTGTCGTCGAGATCTTCCACATCGCCGCGCTTCAAGGCATCATACAAGCGCGCCTTCTCTTCCATGCGCCGCTTCGTGCGCTTCCATGCGACTTCATCTTCGCCCTTCTCCTCGGTTGTGCGCCCGCGGTGCTTCTGTGTGAAGTCGGTGTCTTCCAGGTCCTTCAGTGCGCGCTTCTTGACGTTCTTGTTGTGTGTCTTGAAGATGTCTTCCTTCTGTGGCCGTGCGCGGCCCGCGGTGGGCTTGTTCGGTTCCGTCGAAGAGTTCTTGATGAGGTTGGAGAGGGTCGAGGAGAAGGCGAGGCTGCTCGAGCTGGAGATTTCTTTCGCCTTTGCGCGTCCCTTGGGCCGCACGCCATAGAGATGGGCGTCTTTGGAGGACATGGTGGGGTTGGGGATGAAAGTCGGTTTGGGTGATGACAGTCGCGTGCTGAGCGCGTAGGCGCGGCGGCGATGTTCGGAGCTCTGAGCTTGTTGCGTCACTAACCTCAGGAGCTACCCCACCTGGCTAACATTTGATTCACCAACCCCACATCGCAGTACCTTTGAGAGCCGCACCGTGCTTTCCGCGAGCCGCAATCTTTCTCTGTTCAAGTTTGGATATCCTCCCATTGTGTCCTGAGAGCTGACACAAACGTCACGTCCTCAGCATCAAGATTCGCACAATCAATTGACTACAACAAACAAACATGCCTCTACCTCGTCAAGTATTCATCGCCGTTATCGGTACGCGCAATAATCTTCCCAAATACATACTTGATACTAACGACTACAGGTGCTGGCGGCGTCGGCAAAGCCTTCCTCTCCCAACTATCTGCCCTCTCCAAACGTCTTTCTCAATCGCCCTCGTCGCCGTACTACCTCTCCCTCATCTGGCTCAGCACCTCGAAGAAAGCTGTCTACCACGCCGACTACAAATCCCTCTCCAACTGGGAATCCGAGCTCCAAAACACTTCCAACCCCACATTGCCGCTCCCACAACTCTGCGAGTACCTACAGAAAGCGCCTGGCAAGGTGGTTTTGGTCGACAACACCAGCAACCAGGACGTTGCAGATAGCTACCCTGCTTTCTTGAAGAAGGGAATCAGCATTGTTACGCCAAACAAGAAAGCTTTCTCAGGAAGCTATGGCCTGTGGACACAGATCTTTGATGCCGCGAGCAACGGAAATGGTGCTGGTGGCTACGTCTTCCACGAGTCGTCCGTCGGCGCGGGACTGCCTGTTATCTCCACACTGAAGGATCTGGTCGAGACCGGAGACGAAGTCACAAAGATTGAGGGCGTTTTCAGCGGAACCATGAGTTTCCTCTTCAACTCTTTCCAGCCTCTCGGCGGTGGAGGTGGAAAGTTCTCAGCTGAGGTAACATCAGCCAAAGAGAAGGGTTACACTGAGCCCGACGCTCGCGACGATTTGAACGGACTAGACGTCGCTCGAAAGCTTACCATCCTCGCCCGTCTCGCTGGCCTAAAGGTCGAATCGCCAACATCATTCCCCGTTCAGTCTCTTATCCCCAAGGAGCTCGAGTCCTGCTCATCCGGCGACGAGTTCCTCGAGAAACTCCCACAATACGACGACCAAATGGAGAAGCTTAAGGCAGAGGCAGAGAAGGAAGGCAAGGTCATCCGATTTGTAGGAAGCGTCGACGTACCAAACAACAAGGTCAAGGTCGGATTGGAGAAGTTCGACACAAGCCACCCTATTGCGGCACTCAAGGGAAGCGACAACATCATCGCATTCTACACAAAGCGATATGGCGACAACCCGCTCATCATCCAGGGTGCCGGTGCTGGCGGCGAGGTCACTGCCATGGGTGTAACAGCGGACCTGGTCAAGGTACTTCGGTTACTACACTGAGTAGTCTTCACATAAACTAAAAAACGAATACAATGATCCGTTACTACCACAAAGCTTGTCTATTCAGAGCGGCTACAGTAACATCGTACACTAGCAATCGTCTTGCCGGTTGTACGTTAAAATCACAGTCTTTGGTTTCATATGCTTTTGCGTTGCACCGAGCGTCATGATCGTCGCTCCCCGTTGATGCCGAACTTTATTTCTCTGCCGATCAAAACCCAACCGATAAAATCCCTTGATGCGAACCCCTCACTCGGCGAGAGTGATGTGCAGTGATGGAACCTTCCAGCTGGCAGGTTGATCTCTGGGCTTCAATTGCTTGATCTGCCAAATTGCTTGTTTCGCGACACTGGTGCGAAGCTTATGTGGTGATATTGAAGGCTTGTCAATGTGTGACGTTGGCTGTGCACGATGTCCCTGCGTGTCGTGCGTCGACTATAGGTCCTGCTATCTCTTCTTGCGCGTGAGGCAAAGCTGTCGAAATTGATCAGGTGTGATGCGACATTTCTTTGGCTTTGTCGTTATGGGGGCTCTGCTGATCTCCACGCCTGATACTCTCCACTCACTATAGTCCTTGATTAGAACTGTAGTCAGATGATCGCAAGTGTACCACAGTGTCGAGACGCAACCCCTCAGAAAGAGACATATGACTTGGTCTGTGAAGTAAGGTACAGCTGTGAGCAGCAGCAGATCTTCAAGCGCGATGATGATATTTATCACGCAAACCATCGATGCCCTGCAGCACGAGAAGATCAAGCACGCTGATCTCAGGCTTGGTGTGCTTGTTCCTCTTGGGGCAGGTTTATTTCCCTTTCACACTCATAGAGTTCATGGACTTCTCCGGCAGCTGACGATCTGCAGACGTTACTCATGGCGCAAACCAGATTTCGAGTAAGCAACAAACTTTGTGACATTGTCCATGCACTTGTCACTAGAGCTTGGACACGACATTCGGCGAGAAAGGGATCCTTCACCGACGGCAAACTGAGATTTTGGCCACGACAACGAAAAGCTCGCTTTTTCTCCATCTTGGTGGGGAGAATATGGCTAGCTTGGCGGACAGAGCGGAATATACGGTGTAATAGTATATGCCTGCATGGCTTGGCGAGGTGGAAAGGGTGTCATGGTGCACTTAGTGTACATGCCTGCATGCGCTGGTGGGTATCGATATCGCGTAGCTCCAAGCAGCGGTGACGCGTCTGTACGTGCCAGAGCGCAAGGTCTAGATTGCTTTGCGAAGCACCTGCATGGGAGCGGAAGTGTGGCACGCAGGTGTGGCACAGATTCGTAACCATGCATGGGTGTGGCAGGCAATCTGGTAACATCCGTCAGTAAAGGTGCTTGAAACACTTGCAACACTCGAGAGATGGGTAAATGCGCGATGCACGTAATTGTTTGCAAACATATGTGAATTTTGTAACAAACTAGCTTCTAGAACACTCTTGAGTCATTCGTAAGTCATAGCAACAGCAAGCGAGAAAGAAAGCGACGAAGCGCCTGCCGCTTATGACGCACAAACGTTTTGCTGCCCAACGCCAAACAACCCCGGTAATTCCAAACCAAAATGGAAGCAAACGCAGGTTGCCCTTGCCCTCTTCGTGTTCGCCTGAAGTACTCCCTGTCGTTTTTACGTGAGAAGGCCGCGGCCGAAATGAGTGCGCAAGAGTACCCGTCGCCGGGGCACGTTCGCGTGCGCAGAATGCAAGAGCAGAGTGGGTATCCGAAGTAAGAGAGAGATGAGAGAAACAGGCCAAAGCGCGCTAGGCGAGGTTGAAGAAAACAGATACATGAAGTGAAGAGTGGAGTTTCGGCAGTCGTCGTGAGGAGCTGAGAAGTTCGGCTCCAGAGACCAGACAGGTGTGGCTGATGGCCTGCACGGTCCGCGGAGTGCATGATCATGGCATGTGATTGCCGTTCGGGCCGAGGAAAACGTGGCTAAGTGGATCAATGGGGAAGCGACTCCTCACTTCAGCCACAGCCTAGACTCGGACGCGATGCAGACTACCAAGAGCTGAGGTGGGTTGTGTAGGTACTGACGTGGCTAGGGAAAGCGCAATGTTGACGGTCCGTTCATCTGAAGATGGTGGAGATGCGCTTGGTGCGTTGCCGGACACGCGAGAGCATGTTGGCTTTGTAGGGCTCAGCCGACATGGAGATGGACGAGTGTCGCATGCTTGCGCGGTCGTTGCTTGATGTGTCGCTTGGGCTGGTCGCGCTGCTGCTCTCGGCGTCGTCTTCTCGTACAGCGGGGTAGGGCTGGTCAGCCGAGGGGAAGAAGTAGGCGTCGAGCCGGGAGTTCATTGCGCGGTTCTTCTCAGAGGCGGCTGTGACCAAGCT